CTGGATTCCCTGTGTTTCCAGCTCTTATCTGTATCAGTGTACATGCTCTAGTCTAGCCAGATTTGTAACGTAGAATTGGGGTCATGATGGTGGGGGAAGAAGCATTTAAGAACTAGAGGAAAGTTGTATGTTTCATCGGTGTTATACTGCACCCTGACTGGCTCATCTCTTCCTTGTGACCCTTCATACAGATTGATTTCTTAATTGATTGAACTCGGCTTACATTGAGCGTGGGGGTTGGTGCTAGGAGAACATTTCCTGTAACATTTCTTACAAGGGCAGATCCTTGTCTGTCAGATTTATACTGGTCATATTAATGAAAGGGTGGCATTGAGATACGTTGTGGTTCCGGGTCCCTTTTCTTTTCTTTTTTTTTTTTTCTCTTCAAAGGTGCTTATTTCAAGATAAAGTGTAACCACCATCAGACTATGATTTAAAAATGGGAGGGAAAACATGTTTTGCTTAATTCTAACCCTGCTAAAATGTCTCCACATACTCAACGTCCTCAGAAGCTATATAGTCACTGAAAAGACTCTCCTATTTGTAGCTGACATGAGGTTTGTTAGGAAACTTCTGTAACAATCTATTCAGTTTCTTGGGAGATAAATTCCCAGACTCTCCCCGAGTGTCCTGGATAGATTTCATCTTGCCGGCTGCCTCAGCCCTCGAAGCACAATCAAAGAAGTCTTGGATCTCTTTTCTGCATGGTTCGTCGTGGAATTCATTCAGCTTCCAGCATGCCATCATCATTGACATCTCTGTGATACAGGTCGCCTCGCCCTTCTCCCGACGCTGCTCCCTGATGAAGTTAGCGAGGACCAGGGGCTTGTTGGGCTTCAGGACAGGCTTCTGCGGGTTCCCCACCTGCACCAGGAGGCCCCTCAGGCTGGGCATCGCCATTGCGCACCAAGCTCCCGGCAGCTTCTGCCTCCGGGTCCCTTTTCATTGGACTCCTCTAAGCCAAGGGCCACCCACAGCCAACAGCCATCATGTCCATAGTTTTGGGGTGGCCATCATTTGCTTCCTCTCCCATCAGGGAATTTCAGGCCTAAGTCCAAGGTAGTTTTGATGTAGGGTGCAATTCAGGGGTGCAGTCAATGCCCTGTTTCCTGTAAGGCCAGTCAGTGTCTCAGGTCATCATGGTGCTTAGTCCATAACTTGGTTCACTAGAAAACCCCTGTCTTTACGGATGCAGAGCCATGCCTTTATCCCATGAGCTAGTGGTGGGTTCAAACTTTTGGTGTTGGGGTTAGGAGTGGAGTGCTTAATCACAGCACCACTGGGGATCTTTCGTAGCAACTTATAAACCCACCAAGGCAGAAGAACAGTGGCTGTACACAGGTACACGGGCAAGGAATCTGTTCTGGGTCTCCCACATGGGAAGTGAGACTTCTACCACTGAACCAACACTGACCCCTAGCCAATGGCTTTCAACCCTTGGGCTCAGAGTAGCACTGTTCTTCAGTGAGGGCTTTCAGTGGCTGGTTTGTTTGCAAGTAGTTCACCAGACCTTTCTTCTGAGGTGCATCTGTGTGGGCACAAAATTCTCAAGCTTTTGGTTAGCAACCGAGTGTGTTAACCATTCGCATCTTTTAGGGACTCCACAGTGGCTTTAGACTTCATTTTTGAGGAGCACAGACTTGTTCTTAAGCAAGATATTTGATTTAATGAGAACTTACAGACAAGAGGAGATCCCAGGCAGGCCTGGTTGAGAAGGTCAGCCCTTGGGTGCTCTGGGTGTGACTGAGAAAGAGGAGGTAAACAGAGGTTAAAGTGCACAGCAATGGTGGTCCAATGTGTCCATGGGTGGCTTTGGGAGTGTCGAAGCAC